CCCCAGAAGAAGCAAAGAGACACCTATTAAGTCTTAAAAAGGCGTGGTCTCCTTTTCCAGGTGCCTGGCACACAGCACCAGAATAAATAATATTTATGGAGTACTGACCGTGGGTTAAGTTTATTAGGTCATTCAAATGCTCACAGTTTAATTTACCTATTTTGTGGAGCTTCAGAAAGGTGTTGAGTAGCTTGACCAGGGTCTCACAGAAGAGAGAGAGCCAGGGTTTAAATCCAGAGCCACCCTGTGACCACTACACTCTACTGCTTTCCTCAACACGTACAATTTCATTCTGTCCAAGATGCTGGACAACAAGGCTTGCAGCCCCCAAGGCTCCCTTCTCTTGCATCTACGCCCATAAAAGTCCTCCATCCTCCCTGTTCTCCTTCCTTCTCTGCCAGTTCCCTGCCCAGCCCTCTGTCCCCCAAGTCTGGTTGTGGGGCAGTTTCTGTCATAATTGCACCCCAATCCCTGAGTTGCTTCAAGCTCTATTTATTTTGAGAGGTTGTGTTTGGGGAGGAAACTTTTTTATATACCATCTTTCCATTATGATCACCCCAAACCCTGATTCTTGAAGAACTTGGTGGTATAGAGTTTGTGTGAAAAAGTGATTTAGATGGAGAGTCTTCTAGCCCAAGAGCAAGGATTCCAGGCTCTGCTCCTGCCTCTGCCTCTGGCTGCTAACCCGGTTGCCTCGCAGTCTCTTAGTCTTTCTCTGCCTTCATTAAGAATAAAAGGGCTGTCCAAGGGACAAGATGAAGAGGAAAGAGACGATGCCCAAAGAAACCTTGTGTTTCTGCGAAAGGAAAAGAATGTTCCCCACGAAGTTAAACGCAATAACGTGTGGAAAGCATTTAGCGAGTGCCTGGCACTTGGTAGGTGGTGAATAACTCAAATGGAGCGAGCTGGAGCCAGGACACCTGCTGAGGCTGGGGACTGGCTGCAGAAGGGCGCGGCTGTTGGGAGGGTGCTTACTGGAGTTTGCCTGCAGGGTACAGTTGGTGGTGAGCTGCTGCTCTCAGGATTGGATTTTTTTCCGTATGGACACAGGATTGCAAGAAATTCTTATTTGCATAAAGATGGGGAGTTCAGTTTTCCTAGAATCTGCATGTCAAGACGGAGAAAAAAGAGGCATTTCTTAATAATGATTAATCAGCTGCATCTCAGAAGAAAAGGAAAACTCAGGAAATGAGATACTAAGGGAACGAGGGGAAAAACAATCTTCCCCCAGAACGGACCCACCCAGTAAACCTTGACAGCACTTCCTCGTATTCACCTGCATAAAAGTGACCAGCTCTCTACAAGTGGCAAGCAGCAAGGAGCAAGGAGCGAGAAGACACCAGAGCAGCCGGGCAGCACCTGTGAGAGGTGAGGCTCGGGCCGTCCTTCCGCAGAGGCTTTTGTTCCTCACCTTCCCAGCCCTCATCCTTCAGAGCTGCAGAGAGGTGACCTGTTGTCGCTGGACATGGCCGGTGTAGTCCCAGGAGCTGGGTATTTTGTAGAATCCATGCAGAGGATGAACTTCTTAGTACCTTATTTTCAATAAGAAGAGAGAGCGAGTGGGAGAGAGGAAAGGAAGAAAGAAAGGAAAGGGGAAGGAATCTAGCATTTATGATAACCTTTTTGTTCTAGGAACTGCACTGAACACTTTATAATTTATGTATTTTTAATCCTTTGCGGTAATCAATATCTTTAACAGTATCTGATTCAGTGGGACCCGATCAGAAATGCGTTCCTGTTTGTCTGGGGTAAGGGGGTCTGCTGCCTTCTCCGGCTGAGATCCCAGAAGGACAGCGCTGTAGCTGGGGTGATGCAGTGGTTAGGAGGGTGGATTCCAGAGCGCAATGCCTGCCTTCACATCCTGGCTCCGCCACTTGGTGGCTGAGTACCTTGGGCCGGTTACTCCATCTCCTTAAGTGTCAGTTCCCTCTTCAGTAAAGCAAGGATGGAAACAGAACCTACATCACAGGGTGGCTGTGAGCATTAAATATAATTGTGGAAAATGCTTGGCATGGGGCCCAAGGCACTAGGATAAATGTTAGCTACTACTGTGATCTGAATCAGCCAAGAGGTCTGGCGTCGCCTCGCCAAGTGAAAGGAGGCGTCTTTCTCCTCCACACCGTGTCTGAGGCTCCCGGTGGGGGATGAGCGGGCAACGCCCCACTCTTCTGAGAGTTGCTTGTCAGAAGAAAATCTGTACTCCCTTCTTGTCACTTGGCTTTCTAGAAGCACCCAGGTGCCTTTCGAGGAGACAGCTCTGGGGGATTCTACAGTTTTCCCTGCTAATGGGGTCTTGTTTTGCTAGAAAGAGAGAGGTTGGTAGAAGAGAAATCAAATTCTTTAGCATAATGCCTGCTCTCCAGTGAGGTCTCAGTATACACCTGCCCCTCACTGGGATGGTGTTAAGGACAGGTAAGGAAAAACGGCTTTCTAAACAGGATTTGCTGTTTCTCGGCTTTCTGGAGAAAAGCCTGGGACTCCGGAGGAGGATCTGGGGTTGGGAGGAGCGGGGACAGGTGTGGCTCACGCTGTCACACAGGCAGCTTCTTCAGTTGGCTTCCTGTGCGTGGTGCCGCCCTCTCCTCCACTGACGCACACACTACACTTACCCCGTGCACACGTGGCGGGAAGTGAGTGCTCGGTGGGCACCGTGCAGGATGCTGGGCAGAAGCTGGTCTATTTATGTGTGTTGCCCTATGACTTATCTTTAATGCTCAGCCCTGATTGTGAAGCGTGTGTGAGTGCTGGGGAAAGTCAGAGAAAGAACTCAACAGGCTGCACAATTATGCTTTGGGCACGTTTCTCAAGGTGTATTATCCGACACCACTGAAAGTGGCTCAATGAAAAGAGGCAGAGAGGGATGCAGGAACTAGAAGAGGCAGCCCCGGCTAGGGGCTAGCGAGCTGCCAACATCTCCCCACTACCCCCTGACTCAGTGGATGATGGAGGGGAACTGCCACCTTGCCCTCTGCTGGTCTCTCTTTTTTGTGGTTAATTAGCTATTAGATGCCTTGCACCTTCCTTCCTCTTTTTCTTATCTTCTCTAGAAGGTGACATCTTCACAGTGGGCTTCAAAGGAAAGATTTTCAGCAGATGCACAGTGAAGGTTAATAATAAAAGGGTGTCGCCTATTTTGGGGACAAACATAAAAAAAACAAATGTGCTTTTATGATTTTTCGGATCTGTTGCCTAACTCCTAAGTCGTGTATTACCAACCCTGTTTTTCCTATTTAATTTATTAGAAGCAATGTCTCTCCCCCCTGTTGAAAAGTGAGCCGTATTGAGTCATGGGAGTGATTTATATACAAATGTACTCCCTGGGAGTTGGGAGAGCCACTGGATCAGGCTTTCTGGGGGCAGAGGTGGGGAGTGGGGAGAGGGGAAAGCTCACTCAATTGATTCAAGGAAACCAGATGAGGAGACACATGCCCCCGAGGTCTGCAAGGCTAGGGTAATGAGTCCTTTCTTGGTTGTCACCCGATGTGCCTCGGGAGGTCAAAAGGAGAACTCAGTCAGGGGTCTCTTCCATTGCTGTCCACTCTGCTGCGAAGCTGACTTCATCCCTTCCTGTAGGACATGAAGGCACAGTGCGTTCCCCTCTGTCTCCTGGGTGCGATGCTCTTCCTCTGCTCAGTGCACACCCGGGATCTCAGGAGATGTCTGATTTCCACGGATGTGCACACTATAGAAGAGAGTTTCCGAGGAATCAAAAAAGCCATCGTGAGTATGGGTTTGGGGTGAAGGGGGCATGCATCACTTTACATCTTAACTTGAAGAGCCAGTTCCTTCTCATTACCTTTGGGTCTCTGGAGAAGATGGAGAACTCATAGCTTGTGTCTGTTCTTATGTTTTCTCCATAGCAAGCTAAGGACATCTTTCAGAATGTCACCATCCTGTCCCCATCGGAGACCCTGCACAGCATTAAGGTATTGGCCTGCGTCTGCTCTTTCCTGTACTGTCATTTTTATGGTGAAGTGGCCCTGAGCTGAGGGAGAAGTCCTCACCCCGTGCTCTTCTCTTTCCTAACCTCCAGTGCCCTCTGTGTGCTCCGCCTTCTCACTTGTCAGTGGATGTGGGAGGGGACACTTGTGTCTCAGGAACTTTGAACCCCTGGGAGGGAGGGCTTAAAGGAGCACCACTTACCCAGGGAGGGACTGCGGCGCCACACGCTCTAATGGGACAGGGTGTCTGTGCCTTAGGCTGATTCTGGAAGGTTTCATGGGGAAAATGAGCAGTGACTTAAAAGCTGAGGAGGCTGTCGGTTAGTGCCTGAAAGAGAGGAAGGGGCTTGGGGAGAATGGGTGTGTAAGATGGATGGATTCGTGTCCGGGGGCGGAGAGGCAACCAGGCTCTGTGTGAGGGACGTGAAGGCGAGTGGAAGAGGATGAGGAGGACAAACACGTTGGAGTCATTTGACCAAGAGCCTTGAAAGCCAGGCCGAGCCTCAGCCTTATAAGAGAGGCAGTAGGGAGTCTCTGCAGGGTTTTTTTTATTTTTATCTTTATTTTTTTTATAGCCAAAGACTGTATGACCACAAAGCCCTTTATTTTATTAAAAATTTTTTTAAATTGAAGTATAGTCAGTTTAGAATGTTGAGTCAATTTCTGTACATGCCCAATAGTTCAGTCGTACATATACATACATATATTCATTTTCATATTCTTTTCCATTATAGGTTACTACAAGATATTGAATATAGTTTGCTGTGCTAGACAGTAGACACTGGTTCTTTACCTATTTTACATGTAGTTGTTGGTACCTGCAAATCTCAAACTCCCAACTTATCCCACCCGCACTTCACTCTGGTAACCATAAGTTTGTTTTCCATGTCTTTGGTCTGATTTCTTTATGGTAAATGAATGTGGCCACTTCCTAAATACTATTTCAGCCAATGATGTAAGAGACTCACAGGATCTCACAGCTGGAAGGGGCTCCCAAGACCATCTGTTCTCAAACCATCATTTTCAAATGACCAAACTGACACCTTAGGAGAAAGAGTGGTTCATGGTTGAGCCAGGAAGACAGCCCCAAGTCTCATGCCTCTGTCTCCAGATTTTTCGTCCTCTCAAGGTCTAGAAATAGCTGACGTGGCAAGAGGAAAGGGGTGAATAAGGATGAAAATCTTTACCATATTTCTTCTCTCCCCGCTTTCCCTGATAAAACAAAAGTTGCAACTTTTTGCCCCTTTGGGTAAGGACATTTTGGCAGGAGCAGAGGAAGAGGAAGGTTTTTTGTGTTGCAGGAAAAGTTTCCATCTAGGAACAGACGCCCGGGCGGGGTGGGGGCAGGGAGCCTTTGCTGCTTGAGTGCTAATGCAGATGAACACACTGTTGGCTGTAGACCCACCCCTCCCTTCTCAGACTGAGCTATAATTCTCCCGCACTGGCTCTCAAGGCAAGGTGCAAACTGCTGGAAGGAAACTCATCCTGGCCAGCTGCTCTGAGCTGTGCCCTGCCAAGCTAGGCGTTTTCCCTTAGAGAAGTCTGCATTCTGCCCTCAGAGGACCTGCACAGATGAACACATTTCTGCAGCTGTCAGTCTCCATTCTTACACATCTCAGCTCCATGCAAATGACCCCTGAAGTTTAAAAGGGACCAACTGGAGGAGAGCTCCGCAGGGTGTTCAGGATAAACACAGTGGTCATTACACTGGAAGAAATACGTGCCCAGCCGGCACCTGCTGCACAGCAGCCACTGACTAAACACATGTTGATGGTTCGGAGATGTTACAGAGAGGCCGACTGCAGCACAGCATAGGGAAGACTTTTCAAGAAAGCCGCTCAGACATTGGTCCTTTCAAAAGGGAGGTGTCTGATTCCTGGAAGCGTTTAAGCAGAAGTTAGTGCTGACATGTTGGAGATGCTGTAGAGAGGATTCTGGTCTATGACTGGGCTCCATCCCTTGTCAGTTCATCTCCTGGCCACATAAAAAGAGGGTGAGAACTGCACTCTTCCCTTAGTGCCTTTGTCATCAGTAGCTCTGGTGTTGGCAGGGGAGGAGGGATACTCTGGGACCAATCTGAATTTTAAACAGTGACTTTTAGTTAGCCCACTCCTTCTTGCCCTTATCTAAACAGGCTGCTTTGGTCTCTAAAGTAATGAGGAGAGGGCCTCTGGGGCTTCCTCTGATTTGTGTCTGTAGCCCTCAGATGTGTGCTGCGTGACCAAGAACCTCCTGGCGTTTTACATGGACAGGGTGTTCAAGGACCACCTGGAGCCGAACCCTCAAATCTTGAGAAAAATCAGCAGCATTGCGAACTCCTTCCTCTCCATGCAGAAGACTCTACAGCAATGTGTGAGTCACCACAACGGGATTCCAAGCATGTGTTTCCCATCTGCCCCAGAGAGAGCCTGGGATGTGCTGGCCCCGGTCGGCCTTCTGAAGTGGTTCCTGGACTCAAGGGAAATACCCTGCCCTGTTGTCCATCAGGACAACTGTTGAGAATCTCTTCCAGTGGTCCTTCCTTGCCCAGGGCTTCCTCCCTGCGGACACCTATCAGACCCAGTTTCCTCATGGGTAATCTGCCTGGGGTGACCGACTCACAGCAAAGTATCCGTTAAGCGATCCTGGGGCTGGCCTGTGAGAGAGGCATGCCGAGGAGTCCAGGCTTAGCACAAGCATACCTGTAGTTTCTTGGTTTCTGGCCCTTTGGGGTTTCCATACCAGTTGACCTCTGGGTGTTTCCCTGGTATAGCCTATCCTAAGGGTCACTTCTAAATTCATTGTCACCTGTTGAAAACAAACCTCAGAAATAAAACCAACCCCCAAACAAACCCACAAAAACTTAGACCAGGAAAAAACCTGGGTCCGGCTCCATCTCTGCCAACAATTTCCTGTGTGACTTTGTGGCAAGTTACTTCACCTCTCTGTGCCTTGGATTCCAAATTGTGAGAAGAGGTCATAACCTCTGTCCCACTTATATTAAGATTCATTTAACCAATTATTTAATTAACTAACCCAACACATATTCATTGAGTGCCTACGCTGTGGGGGCTGCACTTGCAGAGTGGCTACAAGATACATTTGGTACGTATCCTCCAGGCCTTTCCAGCCCTGGTCAAGAGCAGGGTGACTCTATTATTAGTTTTTTTTTTCTAATGGTGGTACTGGGGATTGAACCTGTGACCTCATGCACGCTAAGCACACACTCTACCACTGAGCTATACCCTCCCCGTAAATGCAAGGTGATTCTGAAAACAGACCCTACACCCTTCTCCTGCTCCATCTCAGGTTTACTGACCTGACTCTCACCTGGGGAGGATGGAGACCCATCACTCTGCTTGCGGGAGGTGGTGGTAAGGGTGAGCCGGGGTGGCAAGGCCCTCTGATGGGTACTGTCTCCACTTGCTCACAGCAGAAGCAGAGGCTTTGTCACTGCGGGCAGGAAGCAACCAATGCCACCAGAATCATCCATGACAACTACGATCAGGTAAGGGCCGGGACGAGGGTAGGGAAGACAGAGACAAGAAGGAGCCAGATGGAGAGTGTGTCAGCCCTGCAGGCTCCTCTCCACACTCAAATTCATTCATTTACTCAACAGTATTTATCGCAGGTCTTCCAATTCTGTGTCTGCAGAGAGTGTGTTGGTCTTAGTTCATTTGCTAATTTCCTGGCCTCCCCTTCCTTATCATTTCTCCACCATTTTCTTATGCCCTCACTTATCACGTCTATCTTAAATTTTGAGGGCAAGGGTGATACCCTTGAGGTGAGGGAACAAAGATCCCCAGTGAACTGTAAGCCGTTACGTGTGCAACATGCCACCTGCTAGGTGTCACTGTGGCCAGTAGCTGTCAGCATCCTCTGTGGTGATGAAGACCAGTGCTTCTCACATAGATGCAGATGGAGAATGCATGTCTCGCGGAGAGGGAGAGGCAGAGGCAGGGTTTCTTACGTGCAGCATTTAGAAATGTTGTTAAAATGCAGATTCTGGCTTGCAGGTCTGGAGTGAGGTCTGAGATTCTGTGTTTCAACCACACTCCCAAAGGATGCCCATGCTTTGAATGGCAAGGAGGCGGGGAGTCTGTTGAGAGCTCTGATTCTTTGTGGGGAGGCTCCACTTGACAATATAACAACAGCTAAAACTTATGTCATTGTCACTACGAGCCAGATATTATTCTAAGCAGACTGCAGGCATTGACACACTTACTCCTCACAATGCTATGAGCCATTATCTGCATTTGATAAGTTAGGAAACTGAGGCACAAACAGGTTAAATAACCTGGGTAAGTTCACACTGCAATTAGGTGGTGGAGGTAAGACTCTCTCCCAGGTGTCTGGCTCCACAGGACACAATTTAAGACCTTACTATCTCTTTGTAGTCTTCTGAGGAAGAGCTGGAGTAAGTCAGGAGACTTGAGTCCCAGTCCAGCTCTGCTACCAGCTGGCTGTGTGACATTAGGTAGGACACAGACTTAGGGGCTCTGATGCTTTAATGCGTCCAATGGAGACACCATATCTCCCTACCCCACTGCTGGGCACCACTGGGACTGCAGCCTTCCGGGAGAGCAGAGGTACTAAAGCAAGCTGGTGTGAACAGAAAAATAAGCAGAAGAACTGCCATTAAAGCAAGTTTTTTTTTCCTTGTGAAATAACAGGAAATAGTAAAACAGAGGGCAAGGAATGAAGAACTTTACATTTTATTTATTTCTGACATGATCCAACTGCTGGTTTGTGGAAAGCAATTTAAGTCAGCTGCTAGGAAAATAACTGGGGGGTCTTATGCCCTGCAAATATAATTGTTGAATAAAAAGAAAACTTTCCCCAGAACATGGGAAAAGTGATGTGAAACTATTCTATGGTCTAGAAAGGCAGGTTCTTAGGACGATTTCCCTGGTTTCAGCTCGAGGTCCGATCGGCTGCCATTAAGTCTCTGGGCGAGCTTGACATCTTCCTGGCCTGGATTGACAAGCATCATCACGGAACTTCTGCTGCCTAAAGACAAGGAACCTAATTATTGAACAGGCCCTGTGAGGTTTCCCATGGGAGACAGTGAACTCTGAAGGGGAAGGCGGGGGGCCCTGTTTTCATGCAAAGGAGGGTCTTTTGATTGGGAGTTCTCTCCTCTGGGGCTGTGGTTTTGTAGGGGGAAATCTGGGTTTGAGTACAGCTCACGCTGTAGTTGGAAGTCCCACCGGCTGGGCCCAGGCTGTGTGATCCCAGCTGAAAGTAGCCAACTAGCCATATTTATGATAAAATACATCTATTGAAAGGTCCTGCTGGCCTCCCTGGAGGGAAAGGGTTGGCTCCCCACTAATTTATTGTGAAGTTATTTATCCCATGTCTGTGATGTGAGCTAAGCGATGTCCTGTAGTGATCTTTGTGAATAAACTCTATTCATTACCAATTAGTGGAAGTGTCTTCTGATTCAAGGAGGGAGGGCCGGTCAAGGAATCATGAATGGAGACCATCAGAAATGAAAGGGAAAGAATGTGAAACCAAATATACGCATGTATACGCATGACTGGGACACTGTGCTGTACACCAGAAATTGACACATTGTATCTGATGGCACCTCAATTAACAAAACAGAAAACAAAAAACAACACATCGAGGGTCATGCAGTTATTGTGGAACCAGGATTCGTTAAATTAATTAAACAAGGAGACCCTTAGACTGAGTGGCTGGAATGCCATGACCCCCTGTGTAAGCAAACTAAAATCTAAGCCTGCAAATGCCTCAAGGTTATGAAATCTAAATGCTAAGGACAACCAATCGCAATCAGCCAACTGGCTTCAAGCCATAGCCAATCAGGTAACTACCCTTCTCTGCTTCCGCACCTTGTCCATAGATGTCTTTCCCAGGCTCCCAACCTCGGACAGCTTCTAGCCACTTCCAGTTTGGTGCTGCTGATTTCAGCAGAGTTTTGCTCAAATAAACTGCTAAAAAACTGAATATGCATCAGTTTATCTTTTAACAATACCAAACACAGGGTGTCTTACCCGAAAGCCCAGGGAATGTGACCTGAGCACCTTGCACGCGTGGTGGATGCTGGAAGAGATGCTTTACTGGCTATAATGAGCTGTCCGTTCAGGAAAGAAACATCGTTTTATCAACGGTAGTAGAAGAAGCAGAAGAGGAGGAGATGGAGCAGGAGGGGAAGGCGAGGAAGGACGACTGAGGGGGAAGCTTTCTCTCTCTCTCCTGTATCTCTTGCCTACTTGCTTCACTTTGACCATTTCACTTGTCCTCCTGTCCTTTCTCTCCTTCCAGACTTGACGAATGTGTTCTGATTCTTGTGTCGTCCACAGAGGGCCTGGTGCAGAGTTGTGCTTTCTTTTTTGGTGATGTTGTATTTTTGCATTTGTTTGTTTTCACAGATCTGGTGCTTAATAACTATCTTCTCAGGAACCAAGTGTAAAATTCTCTCCCAAATCATATCTTCTGAGTCCTTGGTCAGCCCCTGTGAGGCACCCGTGAGAAACCTAGGGCTCACCTTCTGCTGCACAGGTGCAAGGAGAGGGAACCCATAGCTCATGGCGGGATGATGCAGGCCCTTTATGCATATGACCTCACTTTAAGCCCAGAGGAGCCAAGGAGTCTCATCCCCACTGTGATCAGCAGAGGCATCAGGCTCAGGGAGGTGGAGGGACTTGCCCAAGGTCACATGGCTAAGGAATGGCAGGTCCAGAAGGTGGACCCAGAGCTGATCTTCCTGGTTCCAGTGCATTCTTCCCTTGTTGCTGGGGGAGTTCACTTTGTTTCGGCCAAGACTGTCTAACCCAGGTTGCTACACTCGATGCCAGCAACACAAATCTTTAAACCCAGATGCACAAAAAGTGGCCTGAACTTACCAGCAACCAGCCTGTGAAGTTACACACAAATTTATGGAGCAACACAGAGCAAAGAAGCAGAGGCTGACTTCTGAAGGTGTCACATGCTGTTCCTGGCCCAGCTGAGAGTCTGGGCTCCTCCTGGGAGACATTCTATCCTCCTTGCATCTTCAGAGTGGATTGCTGGCAGCCACACATGCTCAGGGCAGCTGTCTTTTGGAACCACGGACTTTCCCAGAAGTTTGGCCAAATGGATAAGAGGATAAGCTTTTGTTGATATCCTGGCTCTGCCACTTACTGTGTGATCATGGGCAGTGTTTTTAACCCGAGCCTCCGTTTCCTCATGTGCACACATTCAGGAGATTGTGGCCTCTTGGAATTGTTACAAGGATTCAAGTTACCATTTATTGTAGCTGTGTAGTAGGTGAACAGTAGGTGCTCATTAAAATGATGGTTGTTACTATTTAGTGGTTCTCAACTTTTCTAATCTTTTTTCCCATAGAACACTATTGTTTTGGGAGAGCCTTCCTCTTACATGTTTTTTAAACTAGCAAGTAAGACGAGGCAAAAGGCACTGGCCCAGGCCAGCTGTGCTGTCTCCTGGGTCTGTATCTCCAGGAGGTTCCCAGCTGAGCCTGTCGTGTGGGTGCCTGTAGGTTCTGGGCCGTCTGATTCTCCTGCTACCCAGACCCTGCACGCTCTCCCGCACAAGTCCTTGCTCTGTCACAGACTCAGTGAGAGATCCTTCCCTTTACTCCCCTTGCTCCATCTACAGCTAGCACCATCCCTGGTGCATACAAATCACTGGATGTCCCCCGCGCAGCTGTGAACAAACGCCTGCTCAGTGGCAGAAGCAAACGACATCATTCCTGGAGGAGGACTCAGGGGCCAGCATGTCATGTTTGGCCAAGGAGTTTGGGGGAGGAGACATTCTTCAAAAGTTATGAGCTCTAGGACATTCTAGAGATTGTCTATACTTCCAGCTCCGCTATGGAACTATCCTCAGTTAGCCGAGTCTCAGGCCTCTCCCATGGAGCCACCATCAGTAAAGACTGGAGTGTTTATAAGAGAGACCTTTTCTGCACAGGCACAAACAAGGCTTGATGCAGGCACTGGGGCTGGGAGAGGGTTTCAAACTCAGCTTTCACACCAGGAGAGAAGTTTCCTCAGCATGCCCCAGTCTGGATGCTTCTGGTCACTTTCCTAGAGACTCTGTGCCTCAGTTTCCTTATTTGGGAAATGAAGAGAATAAACATACCGACCTGGAGGGATGTCTGAGGATAAAGTGAGTTAAAATTTCATGAAGTACTTAGTGCCTGGCAGCCAGCACATGCTACAGACAAACAACAGAAGAGCCTGTGGTCATGCTCTGCTGCTGTCCTAGCCCTACCCCAGCCTAGACTCAACTCCGCAAGACAGAGTCCCACCCCCAGGCAGAAACAGTCTTCCTCCTGCTCCTTCTTCTCCGTACCTATCCCTTACCCCCAATTTGTGTTCCCTGGAACCCAGAGTGGTTTTCCAGGCTTTGACCAGTCTGAGATATCTTGGCGTTCATCTCCTCTCTCAGACTGAGCTCCGGGGAGACAGCTGCTCTGTGAATGGCTGTACTCTGTTAATCAATATTCTTTGAATGAATGAATGAATGCATGCATGAATGAATGGTTCAAAGCTGGGTCCCCCTTTGACTGTTGGAGGAAGTCTGCTGCTTTGCTTTTTGGCATTAGGAATCTCTCTGGCTTGCTCTGGTCCACCACTGGAACCTCTATTCTTTGCTCAATGTCTCTTCTGTAGCCCATAGCAAGGAGTCAGGTCTCCCCTCTGTCTGGCCTCCCCAACTTGGGTTTCAGTTTTGCCCCTCATTGTTGTTTTATGGTCCTTGAGTCTGTATCCTAAAGCCTGAAAGTCAGTGCCTGCCACCCTAGTCCTGGGCTAAGAGCCCTTTGGATGTCATGCTAACCTGGGCTCCCGCTCCCGTGGGAGCCACGTGGTCCAGCAGCGCTGTCAGTGGGGAGAGAGAACTTGAGAAGTACAACGTCACCTCTTCTTCCTCACCTCCTCAGTGTCTCCGAAACATCCCCCCTACCTAGCCTAAGAAGAGCATAGCTAATTCTAGATGAGATACCCCCGAGGCAGAGTGCAGACAACGTCCCTCTGTGGTCATCCCTGGGGCGCCTTGTGGCAATGGGATTATGCCCATGTGGCTAGAAATGATGTCTTAACGTGAGAGTTGCTGGCATCAGAAAGCTCAGTCTCTCTGCAGGGAGCCAGCAGGTGAAAAAGTGCTCTGAATTTAGTTAGGGAAACATACCAATAAGCAATTTATTCTGCTGAGTTCCTGGGATGTGTGATGCTGATCCAGGCCCTGAGCAGCTTAGCAAAGGAGAACAGTCACTGATTCCTTAGAAATGAAGTCTCAGAGTGAAGCTTCCTCAGACTGATGCTCACAGTTCATTGCATTTTGACTCTTTCCAACTTTCTTCAACCCTTACCTCCTTACCCCACCCAGCATGCACACGGGCACTGTCCCTCAGGGAGTGAAGTGCTCTCTGGTCTCAGGAGTTTTGTTCCAGCTTTTCCTGCTATGAGGAGCAAGGGTCCTTCTGCTTCTGCTGCAGTCTCTCCATCCCCAAAGCGCACAAAATTGTTAGTCCTTCAAAACCTTGCCCAAACTGGATTTTCTCCAAGAAGCCTTCCCGGATATATTCCTTGTCCCTCAGAAGTAATCTCAATGCCTCCTTCACCCCAGACCCCTCAATGCCTATGATGAACACAGCCGAATTGTTCTAGGAGAGTCCCCATAACAAACGCTCCCATCATTCCTATAAACAGCCTCATTCTTCTCAGGCTGCATGTCACAGCTGGAGAGGTGCAGTTGCCATACCCATGGGCCTTTGCATCTGCCCTTAGATCAAGGACTCTTAATCTTTTGTGTGCCATGGACCCATCTGACACACCAGCAAAGTCTAGAGACCCTACTCAGAATAATGTGTCTAAATGCATACAATAAAATATATAGGATTACAAAATAAACCAATTATATTAAAATGCAGCTATCAAAATATGGAGATGAAATGCTTAATTTACAGAATGTATGAATAGCTCATACAACTTAATAACAAAAAACCCCAAATAACCCAATCCCAAAATGGGCAGAAGACCTACACAAGCAATTCTCCAGTGAAGACATACAAATGGCCAACAGGCATATGAAAAGATGCTCAATATTACTAATTATCAGAGACATGCAAGTCAAAACTACAATGAGGTATCACCTCACACCAGTCAGAATGGCCATTATTAAAAAGTCCACAAACGATAAATGCTGAACGGGGTGTGGAGAAAAGGAGACTGTCCTACACTGAAAGGAATGTAGTTTGGTGCAGCCATTATGGAAAACAGTATGGTGATTCCTCAAAAAACTAAAAATAGACTTACCATGTGATCCAGCAATCCCACTTCAGAAGATACATGCACCCTAATGTTCACAGCAGTACTATATACAATAGCCAAGACATGGAAGCAACCTAAAT